GAAGGTTCACCAAGAGGATTAGAAGGCTGAGATGAAGTGTTGGAAGGTTCACCAAGAGGATTAGAAGGCTGAGATGAAGTGTTGGAAGGTTCACCAAGAGGATTAGAAGGCTGAGATGAAGTGTTGGAAGGTTCACCAAGAGGATTAGAAGGCTGAGATGAAGTGTTGGAAGGTTCACCAAGAGGATTAGAAGGCTGAGATGAAGTGTTGGAAGGTTCACCAAGAGGATTAGAAGGCTGAGATGAAGTGTTGGAAGGTTCACCAAGAGGATTAGAAGGCTGAGATGAAGTGTTGGAAGGTTCACCAAGAGGATTAGAAGGCTGAGATGAAGTGTTGGAAGGTTCACCAAGAGGATTAGAAGGCTGAGATGAAGTGTTGGAAGGTTCACCAAGAGGATTAGAAGGCTGAGATGAAGTGTTGGAAGGTTCACCAAGAGGATTAGAAGGCTGAGATGAAGTGTTGGAAGGTTCACCAAGAGGATTAGAAGGCTGAGATGAAGTGTTGGAAGGTTCACCAAGAGGATTAGAAGGCTGAGATGAAGTGTTGGAAGGTTCACCAAGAGGATTAGAAGGCTGAGATGAAGGGTTGAAATGTTCAGAAGAAGGACTAGAAGGTTCAACAGGAGACTCAATTTCATTAAAAGATGTAAAAGATTCCCCACCTACCCCACCTACACCACTGTCCATCACATGGGGGACATAATCCAAAGCCAATGGAGCAATTTCTGGCTCATTAACCTCATGACAGACATAAACATCCATTCTATCCCCATTTTCAAACATAGAGGAAATGTCACAAATAACCTTATCACTTTTAACTTCAACAAAAAAGCCATCGATTGGAGATCTAATAAAAAAGGAACAATCTGTTGTATATCCTAAGTCCTTTATGTAGCCTTTCAGTTCAAAATAAGACATTCGATCAGTGTCTACTTCCAAGAATTCAGTCACAGACCCACCAACATAATCAGATGAGGGACCAAACACAATTTTGCCCCCATGATACCATCTCAAAGTTATAAGAACAAATGACATTGTAAGAAATCCTGAAAACACAGTTACAAACAGATCTCAGAAACACTGAATCAATGAAAGTTACAACAATATTCAACAACAACAACCCAACAAAGAAATACACATCAACTGCAACAGGCCAACTTCCCAATAATACAGATGAGTAATATACACAACAACAACATGACAACAAACGAAATACGCATCAAACAATGTAAATAAACTAACGACTAATCACTACAAAATTCACTTATAATGTAAAATAAACTAACCTATGAGCCTTCACTTCTTCGTTCCGCCACCAATATTCAACAAATTTCAACAAACAATGTTACCAACTAGCTTTGCCTCATGAAATTTCTTAGGGTTTTGATCGGTTGAAGAGAGAGAGACGAGGGTAGGTGAGAGTGAAATGGGTTGGAAGTTTCTTTGGGTTTGGGTTTGGGTTATGGGTTAAAAAATGAATGGGTTAGGATAAAACCCGGCCTTTGTTAAATGGGTTGGAGGTGTGGCACACGCTCTTGGATTGAGAGCACTGATGTTGAAAAAATGATGTATTTATTGTGCTTTTGGATGGTTTCGTGGGGTAATAGGACTCCCGCAAACTTAAGGTGTCTACTTAAAAAAAGGGTATAAGTTCCATGGGGTAATTATGTATTCCCCCAAAAAAAATGATGTTACTCTTTATTACTCTTCGGATTTTGATATTCAAATAATTATATTTTAATCTGTCAGTTTTTTATTTTATTTTTATGTATCTTTTAATTATTTTGAATTGTCAATTATTATGATTTATAATATTTTTTTATAGTTTACAAATATATGAATTTCATTTCAAAAAAATTGGAGATTTCACGCATAAATTTCCGATCAAACTTAAATTATTTGACTCTCAAAAAATGAAAAGTGTCACATAAATAGGGACAGAAGGAGTATTTTCTTTGATTGGTAAAAAAATATAGATAATAAAACTATGATTTATAGACAAAAGATGAATGAGAATTGCTCGAATGGTAAGTACCTTCACTTCCGATCTTAAAGATTGTGGGTTTAAATTACCAAGGGAGCAAAGATGGAGAGCTCATAGGGGTAAAAAAAAGATTTTATGAACAAAAAGAAACAAAAACATTTTGAAAATTTATAAAGTTAGAAGTAATTAGACCCTTAATTATTATTATTATTTTCATTTGAAAAAGGTATTATTTCGCTTATAAAAATAATAATTAAATATCCGTGTAATATCATATTCATAGTTTTTTTTTGTATATGATACATAACTATATAAAATTGTCGACTTTTTTTTTTAATCTGTTATGATTTAGGATAGAATTTGAGAAGAAAAATTTGATTGTTTGGAGCTGTTATTTGGGAGAGATTGACATTAATTAAAATTTGCATAATTTGGGAAACTGACATTTAATTTTATATTTAATTTCCTTTTTAATCTCAACAAACTAGTTGTATAATGTATCACAATTAATGTAACCGGATGACTGATATTTGAAAGGATTTTTGTAAAATAGAAAAGAGTAGGGATATAATGTAATTTAGGTCTTACACTATGAGATTTATGTAAGTTATACTATATATATATAGTCATTTTCCTATTGAATGTAATTTTACTATATCACTCTTTGAATGTAATCAATACAGTGTAATATATTGTTTCAATTTCTAGCAGAGAATCATAAGGTATTACTCCCTCCGTCCAACAATAATTTTTTTCACTATACTATTTTAGGACGTTCAACAATACTTGTCCACTTTATGAAATCAATGGATAATTTACATTCGGCAGAACGCATAAGCGGCCCCTTGAACTTGTAAGTATTTTCCTTATAGACACCTTAACAAGGACACCTTCCTATTGAACACTTAAACCACTCAAAAAGTGTACCTATCAGACACACCTGTCTGACTTGGCACTTATCGTGTGAGGCATTTGTTTTAAGGTGGAGCGCGTGACATACACATCTCCTACGTGGAAAAATCTAATCCTACGTGGTAATACACATTCACAAAAACACCCAACCCCTCAGTCATTTCTCTAAATCCCCAAAATGTGTTACCAAAAAACCCTAGAAATTTCTTTCACGATTCCCGCTCAATATGTGGTCGATTCAAGAAAGTTGATCAATAATCTTCATGTTTTCTTCCTACGGCGTGGTCGATTCAAGAAATAACTTTTGTTGTTGTGTTTTAAGGTTGATTCGAGAAAGCTAGGAGATTTTGTGTTCAATCTTGTGAAGTAAGTTCATTTTCGAATCTCTATGACTATTGCTGTCAATTTCCCCTTTAAATATAGCGTCTATTTTGTACATTACTACAGTGATGATGTTTTGTACATATGTGAATAAAGTTTAAATTTTTTAGGGTTTTCTTGTCAGTAATTTGTCGAATTTATTTGAATTTTTTTCCCAGGGAATCTTATGGATATTATTATAGTAACTCGCTTTCACCATGGTGGTAAATTTGTGGAAGGCATATCTGGTGGAGGTCTCACTTACATAGGGGAAAGTGAAGTGGAATATGTAGGTATCGATAAAGACCACTTTTCTTTAATGGAATTGCTTTTTTATACTAGAGATTTGGGGTATGTTACTGTGGGTGGGTTTTATTTTAAAGACCCTACAACCAATAACTTTGTCTTAGTGGATAACGATTTCAGCTTACTAAACCTTATAAAAGACCTAGGTGATGGTGACTTTTTGGACTTGTATGTTCAACATGTTGTGGATGAGGTAGAGGTTATTAAAGATGGGGTCCCTACAAGTTATCTTTGTGGGCCAACAATTGGTGAAAATGTTAATGAGAATGGAGTAGAAAACTCACATAATATTAATGTGGATGAAGGGGCCCAATCTGAGAATATTAATGTTGAAGTTGGTGTAGGTAATGCATCAGATCTTGAAGGTGTTGAAACAGATTGGGATATTAGTGATGATTTACAAGAGTTTGCTATTCCTGATGATGATGACTCAGAGATTGATGAAGAGTTGAGAACTCTTAGAAATGAAAGGAGAACCAAATTGCAGAGGGAAAAATATGTTCCTACAGAGGAAATAATTCTTGGAGTAGCTGGTGTTGATAGAGGATTTGAAGACATTGGAAGGAACAAGGCTGTTAGGTATGTAGGAAGATTGGGGGGAGATGAGCAATATATTGATAGTTCAGAACTAGATAGTGATGACAGTATGGATGAATTAGATCCTGAAGCTGTGGAAGGTGTTGATTTACCAGCTAGAAGAAAAAGTAAAAAGGTTAAATTTGATCTTGATTGTGTAGTTGCTATATTTGAGCTTGGTATGATATTTAAAAATGCCATAGAATTTAGAAAGGCTGTGGCAGAGTATGCTGTGGAATATAAAGTCAAATTAAAATTGAGGCCTAATGAAAAACATAGAGTCAGAGTTAAATGTCAGCATAAGAAATGCAAATGGTTGTTGTATGCTAGTCTAGACAAAAACTCTGGTGACTTTATTGTTAAGAATTACTATCATGTTCATCAGTGCCCTACCACAACCAAAAACAAGTTGTGTACATCTAACTTTATTGCAAATAAGTTTAGGGACAGAATAGTTTCTCAACCTTATATAAAGTTGAAGGAAATTCAAGATTTGGTGAGGAAGAAGACATGATTGTATGTTGAAAGAACTTTTTGTTATATGGCAAAATTGATGATTCTCAAGGAATTTATGGGTGATTGGAAGATGGAGTTTGCAAGGTTGTGTGATTATGCAGACATGATAAAACAGACTAATCCTGGTAGTTCATGTTGGGTGAGGATAGACAGGAAATCTACTCCACGAAAGAATATGTTTGTTTACTTTTATGTTTGTTTTGATGCATTAAAGAGAGGTTGGTTGGAAGGATGTAGAAAAATCATTGGTTTTGATGGATGCTTTCTGAAGGGTGCTTGCAAGGGTGAATTATTAGTTGCAATTGGTAGGAATGGAAATCAACAAATGTTTCCAATTGCTTGGGCAGTTGTTGATCAAGAAACAAAGCATCTTGATACAAGATCTAAACTTAGGCACTGGACATGGATTGACTGTGATGTCTGATATGCAAAAGGTTAGTTTAATGTTCATTTTATTTAATTTTGATCTCATTGCCTATTTATTTAATTATGATTAGTCATAAATTTCAATTATTATGATATGTAGGGTCTTGTAGCAGCCATAATGGAGTTGCTGCCAGATTGTGAGCAGAGGATGTGTGCTAGACACATCTGGTCCAATTGGCAGAAAAATTGGAGAGGAGAAGAAAGAAGAAAACAATTCTGGAGATGTGCAAAATCAAGTTTTGAGGTAAAATTTCAAGATGAAATGGATAAACTTGATAAACTTGGTAATAAGATCTGTGGAGACTTGTTACATTATGAAAAAAAGACATGGTGTAAAGCATATTTTAAGGAGCATGCTAAGTGTGATATTGTTGAGAATAATATGTGTGAGACATTTAATTCTTGGATATTAGCTGCTAGACATAAATCAATTATCACCATGTTAGAGGAGATTAGACATAAGATAATGGATAGAAATGTTGAGATGAGAAAATTTGTTGACACTTGGATATCAGACATTTCTCCTATGGCAAGTTTAGTACTTGAAGAAAACAAAGATTATGCTAGAGATTGTCAAGTTAGGTTCAATGGCCAATTTGGATATGAAATTTTAGATGGTCATTATAGGCATATTATTGATATCAGAAAGAAGACATGTACTTGTAGAACCTGGCAGTTGAGAGGCATACCATGTCAACATGTTGTTTTGGCTTATCAGCATGCAGGCCAAGACCCTGAAGATCATGTTGTACATTGGTATAGAAAAGATACTTTCATGAAGGCTTATAATTACTTTATCCAGCCAATACCTAATATGAAAATGTGGCCTCACACTAGTGATATTGTGATTGAGCCTCCTGAACCAAAGCAAATGCCTGGCAGACCACCAAAATGCAGAAGAAAGTCAAAGGATGAGCTAAGAAAGAAGTATGGAAAGTTGTCCAGAAGAGGTGTAAAAATGACTTGCTCCAAGTGTCATCAACAAGGCCATAATAATAAAGCCTGCAAATATGTGGTAATACTCAAGCCAACCTTTAATTACTTCAATTAAATAGATAAAATGCAATACAATTTTTCTTTTTCTTATTTACACTATTAAATCTTCTGCAAGGGGTTAGCCTGGAAGCTCAACCCAACCTGCAAGCTTAAGCCAACCTGCTAGCTCAAGTCAGCCTCAAAGATCAAGGCAACCTATAGGTTATAGCCAGCCACCAAGCTCAAGTGTAGGTTCTAGCCAGCCACCAAGCTCAAGGAAACCACCAAGCTTTAGCCAACCACCAAGCTCAGGCCAACCTGTAGGTTCTAGCCAGCCACCAACTTGGAGACCATCACAACATGTCATCTCAGGCCAACAATCAACTTCTATCTGTGATGATACTTCAATTGTTAGAAGAGTTCAACAAGCTGGAAGAGGCAGGGAAAGAGGCAGAGGAAGAGGCAGGGGGAGAAGAGGTGATGATACTTCAACTGTTACAGGAGGGCAACATGCAGGAAGAGGTAGGGGAAGAGAAGGAGCATCAACATCAACAAGAGGAAACAAAAGGCCTAAGATTGTAGGATTTGGCACATACACTGATGATATAAGTGGCAGACAAACATTAAATGTAAGAGTATAACCAACTTCAATTATTTATAATCTACTTTGATAATAGACACTTATTTTAGTTTCTTGTATACAGCCTGGTACAACAGGTGAAAGAGTTGTTACTCCAGTTGTTTTCAAGTGTGCAACACCAACAAACATAGATATTGGTTATAAGCCTCGTGGACTGAAATGGAAGGGTAAAGATGTTGTCACCACTCCACAATTACAACGCATGAGTAAGTCCAAAAAGGGTGGATCTGCAAACGTCTAGTGCAACAAGAGCAAAAACAGAGGGGTGTGACTACTTTAATATGTTTTGGGTGTTTTTGATGTACACTTAGAGGTTGTTTTATTTGAATATGTAATGCAAGCAGGAAACAATACTGAGACTGCTTTAATATGTTTTGTGATGTTTTTGATGTACATTATAACATTCATGCTTGTTTGGAGCTTAATGTTATTATGTTGTTCACTTAGTATGGTTATTGTTCTTTGGAGGTGAAGAAAGCAAGGAAGAAGCTTGAAAAAACGTCACTTAAGGCATCTCCGTAGGAATTATAATTTGGCTCGTGAAATCAAATTCCAGGCAGAGCACTCTGTGCCCTCTTCGCGTCGTGGAGAGGGATTCCTAAATTAATTAAACAAAGCGAGTTTGAGGCAGAACACTAGCAATTGTGTGCGAATGGGAATTTAAAGATGCCTCTGCGTCGCGGAGATGAGCAATATGATAGATTAATGAACAACTTATCTCCATTCCTTCTTCCAAAATCAGTACAACAGAAACACAAGACTATTAATACAATCACTCAAAGACTACTAACATAAATATTTCCATATAGCGAAAATCACGAGTGCAATAACGCATATGATCCTGATTTTTCTTGACCGCTTCCTCTCTTGTTCATAGGATTTGATTCTTTTCAATAGATCCCATATGATCTTTTTTGCTATTGTATTAAGTTGTGTCCATGAAGTTTTCAATTCAGCATTGACCCCACATCGACATAACACATTTGCATCTGAAAAAGTTGAAATCGACAAATTGGACATTTCCTTCGATGTGAAGAAGACGAATGAAGAAATTTTTTTTGATCTCCACTGTAGTAGCAACAATGGTGAGATGTGGAGAAGAGAGAGATGAGAAATAAATAAAAGGGAAGAATCTAGGGTTGGATAAATAAAAAGGGAAGATTTTGACTGTTAAGTATGTTAAAGTGTGCCAATCAGACACATCAGCTTTTTTTTTTCTCACTTCACGCGCTCAAAAGGAGTGCCTCACACGATAAGTGCCAAGTCAGACAGGTGTGTCTGATAGGTACACTTTTTGAGTGGTTTAAGTGTTCAATAGGAAGGTGTCCTTGTTAAGGTGTCTATAAGGAAAATACTTACAAGTTCAAGGGGCCGCTTATGCGTTCTGCCTTTACATTCAGTTCTTAATTTACCATTGTCATTGATTATAATCATTTTCCTATTACATTTTTCAAGACATTGTATTGATTACATTCAAAGAGTGATATAGTAAAATTACATTTCTATTTATATTTTTTTAAGAAATGTGCAAATCAATAATTAATGGATAAATATTGTTGGACAGAAGGAGTATTAGATTCAGACAGTAAGGGCAAGTTAAATAGGTTAAGTAAAAAAAATTGTCATTGATAAAGCTTTTAAAACTTCAAAATTAAATTAGAGTTTGTGAAATTATATAATTATTTTCTATGTTATGTGTTGTCCCAAGAGCTTAGGAACATCTCAAGAACTTCCATCTTAAATTTGAAATGATCTTGAGATTCAAAGTTGAAGAACATTATATTCTCACATATTATATATTTATCGCTTGTATAGTTATATATGTCAAATATATAATATGGATAACATCACTACATATGATATACATTAGATATGGATAAGATACATTAGCATACACAATATATCACTTGATCATTTGTATGTCATATTTTTCTTTTTTTCTTTTGAATAACAAGTCTTAAGCTCTAATTAGTGTTATCAAACATAATTCAATATCAATTTATGCAAATTCCATTTTTAAAAAATCTTGTTGTCCTCTAATTTTGCCATATTTTTGTGGAAAAATATACAAGGAGATAGGGTATGAAATTACCTTCCTACCTTAAATTAACAAAATAGAAAGCTAAGTATAGTATAGACAATTTTTTTTGTCTAACCAAAGATGAAACAAAATAAGAATTCAAAATTAATTTTACAACAAATAGAAACCACATGTACATGAAATAAAAGAGTTATCATAAGTAATGTTCGAATGTATTGTTTCTTCATCTAATAATTAAGAAATTTTCTTATTAAAACTTTATTCAATACATTGTATACAAAGTAAAAGAGGAAAAGTGGAGGTCCGATCTAGCTATATAAAAAACCAATAGCAGAGAGCCAGAGATAAATCGAAAGAGATTTTCGCCTCCGAGTTGGGGATTACATGTATTCCCCCAAAATAGCTACAAGTATAAATCAGTTAAATAAATTATGTAAAGTGATTGCAGAAGCTATTGACAAGCTTGCACACACGTGAAAAAATCAAAATATTCTAAGAATGAAAAAGTCTAGACAAACATGCCATGCCAATTCAAATTAATTTGGATTTCAAATTGGCATCATACATCGAACGGAATAT